CCTCTTTTTTAGGGTCTCATGTAGCCACACAGATCTCTGTTTATCTGCTGACAGCCTACTGTCCGACTGTTTGTTTTATGTGATGGATTGTATGTCTGGCGCTGTGATGTCACTTTTTCTGACATGGACAGTCAATCAGCTGAGAAAAATCTGTCAGAACAGTCAACAATAAAATGAGCTGTAGGAGGGAGGAGAAGGGAAGAGGAGAGGAGGAAGGAGATGAGGAGGGAAGAGGAGGAGGTCATTGACCTGCTCTGCTGCACGTTTCCGTAACAACCAGCAGCAACTGAGTTTCACTTCCTGATAACAGTGTAAGAGGAGAAAAAATAAAAGAGGGAGAAGTTCATAGGAAATGAGAGAGTGAAAGATTTTCTCTCTGCTGGGAACACGAGTTTAGTTTTTTACACTTTAGGCCTTTTTTAACAATTGTTTGATAAATGAGATTAACTTGTGATTAAAGTTAGAATAAGGAGAGCAGACGTCAGTTATGAGTAGATTTAATTACAGTTTGCTCTTTGCACTGTGTTAAACAGGATAACTCTGCCAGTCTCTGTCGTCTGTCGCTGTAACAGACCTCATTATTAATTAAAGTTAATCATGTAGCAGAGTTAGAGCTAAAGTTGATCACTTTTATGTCGTATTTACTGAGACTGGCCCTTCATCCACACAGTGATATACATGAGCCAGTCTGTGTCCCTCTTCCTCTGATTGCTTCTGATGGCATTACATTTTATGTTTTTATTCATGTAACCAGGAAGTCCCACTGACATTGAACATCTCTTTTACAACAGAGACCTGGTCGAGGCAGCAGCCAATCAGAACACATTTGAAATGCAACAAATACAACATATAACACAAAAATCCACAATAAAACAACACTGTTTCAAACCTCAGGAAAAACAAGCTCATGTCTCTGTCACATGTTCCGTATGATGACCTCACATTCATCCATGTGTTTCTCACTTTAAATCTTTTTGAAGATTGCTCCATGTCCAAGGTGCAGAGTAGGAAAATGCAGTTTTTCCTGGATCTGTTAAAACCCTGGGTGAATAGAGTCACGAGCGCCGCACTGAAAACAACCAATCAGAATCGAGCAGTCTTTAACACAGCTGTCAATCATGTTAGTCACTGTCATGAGTCATGAACTGAGGTCAAAGTGTTAAACGAGACAGCGCTGATCACATATTATAAGAGTCTGTGTCGTTTTGTTTCAGCCCTGGCTCGTCTCCTGTCCCTCTGCAGAGACACTTTCAGACAGTTTTCTTTATTAAAGTTATTAACTGCAGTTTGAAATAACGGCTGAGCTGCTGTTAATGATGGTATTTATTTCTTTACTCACACTGACATCATCTCTTCAGACCTCTGTTGACTCTCAGCATGCAGACGGGTGCCTCAGTCACTTTTAGTTTAACATGGGGATACATGATAATATCAGCACGTCATCAGTATCGGCCGATATCAGCTTTAAAATGAACGATCAGAATCAGCCCTGTGTCTTTTTCTTATTCAGCACAATGAGTGAATATCACAGACACTGAACAATGTTTCATGTCTCCATCTGCTGGTGGGCCGTCACCATCATAGTCTGCAAGTATGATATGACGTTAGTTCACCACAGAAGAGACTTGGTGATGATCACTGACATCAGGTTGGAAATAGTGGATATATCGGTATTGGTCACATAATTTGTTACATATCGACACATCAGATATCTGCAAAAAAAAAAACAATATCGTGCATCCTCCGTTTTACAGCTGGATCATGACGTCCACAGACCGACTTCAGATCAGTGAGAGCTACTGTTGTGGTTTCACCTTCATCTCTACAGCTCTGTGTCTCTGCAGCAGCTCTGTGCCTTTGCAGCTCTGTGTCTTTGCAGCTCTGTGTCTTTGCAGCTCTGTGTCTCTGCAGCAGCTCTGTGCCTTTGCAGCTCTGTGCCTTTGCAGCTCTGTGCCCTTGCAGCTCTGTGTCTCTGCAGCAGCTCTGTGCCTTTGCAGCTCTGTGCCCTTGCAGCTCTGTGTCTCTGCAGCAGCTCTGTGCCTTTGCAGCTCTGTGTCTCTGCAGCAGCTCTGTGCCTTTGCAGCTCTGTGTCTTTGCAGCTCTGTGTCTCTGCAGCTCTGTGCCTTTGCAGCTCTGTGCCTTTGCAGCTCTGTGCCTTTGCAGCTCTGTGTCTCTGCAGCAGCTCTGTGCCTTTGCAGCTCTGTGTCTTTGCAGCTCTGTGTCTCTGCAGCAGCTCCATGTCTCTGCTGTAACTCTGTGTCTCTGCAGCAGCTCTGTGTCTCTGCAGCTCTGTGCCTTTGCAGCTCTGTGTCTTTGCAGCTCTGTGTCTCTGCTGTAACTCTGTGTCTCTGCAGCAGCTCCATGTCTCTGCAGCAGCTCTGTGTCTCTGCAGCAGCTCTGTGTCTCTGCAGCAGCTCTGTGTCTCTGCAGCTCTATCTCTGCAGCAGCTCCGTGTCTCTGCTGTAACTCTGTGTCAGGGTGTATGTTCACTATTTTCTTCAAAGTTTTAAACTATTAATTAACTGAGAAAATACTTGTTTTCTTTGGTTGGTTTCAGTTGTTACATGTTTAGTTTTTAGTGTTTCTTCTTGTAATCGGACTACTTGTTGTTGACGTTTTCTGTCATTGGTTGAACGTGTTGCTGGAGGACACTGTGGAAGGTCGATCTGTTCAGGGAATCAAACCAACATCCAGCTGGGCGAGCTGAGGACAATGGACCAGAGACGGTCAGTGTGACGAGGGGGGAACATGGACAGAGCTTCAGACTTCAGCAGCTGGTTCTGGGATTTGAACCAGCATCACAAGCAGCTCCTCCATGTTTCCTCCTCTGAGCCCGCCTCAGGAAACGCAGGAGGAAACAAAGCTGTCAGACGTTCAGACTTCCTGTCAGCAGCTTCTTGGAAACAGAGTTATACTTCTCAGAGGCAGAAAGGAACGTTTGCTCCCATTTGTTTGTTAAAAATATCTGACTTCCTGTCAGAGACACGCCCGGTCAGCTGACAGCTTAAACACACAGGGCTGAGAAACAAGCGCACCTAAGGCGGGTGGAGTCAACCGTGTCAAGATTTATTTCACTGTGAGAGGAAGAAACCTGAAGTGTCCCTCAGCAGGACAGAGTTCTGTCCACAGCCACAGACATGATGTCATAACTGAAGACCACATGTAGGAAATCAAACTCATCAGGCTCCAGGAGGCCGTTTGTATTTTTACGAGTCAGAAACTTCAAACTGATGCTGACGAGCTGTGTTTGGACACCCAGCATGCTTTGCTGCACAGCCTCAGGTGATAGCTGTGATGTTTCTGGGGGTTCGTATTATTTAGCATCATGATGACGTAGCTGATGTTTGTCTCTGACACAGACGATAGCTGACAAGTCTGAAGTCAGTTTCTGTGAGTTCAGAAAGCCTTTATTGTCACTGCACATTAACACAGGTGCTGCCTATACAACAAAATTGCGGGGGCTGCTTTTAAGGTGCAGACGAGAAATACAGGTGATAATTATAGGTGCTGCGCAGCAATGGTCGGGGCCGGGCAGTTTTAGGCAAAATTAGGCAATTCTGAGCAACACACACACTAAAACAAAGCATATCACAACATAGAAGTTACATCATATAATTATGGCATGCCCTTCAAATTGTGGATGAGTGGCTGAAGTGATCAGACTCATAATATACAAAGGAAAGAAAAAACTCAGAACAAGAAAGTAAGAATAACAGTAACTGCTAGCAATTATGAACAAACTGGCCTGATCTAGCTTAAAGCTAAACATTATCCATGGTGACAAAGATGAAAACATTTTTTAAAATGTAAAAGTAGCTATTGGATAGACTCTGCATATTGACTGATAGCTAAGCCAAATAAACAGGGAAAAGAGACGAGGGATAACAGGGAAAAGTGTTGATAAAGAGTATTTGTCTCTCTGCAAAACTGCCTGGATCATAATTATTTTAACCTTGGTAGTCTCTAATCCACATAGCATGATGCCTGAACATAGGACTTTCACATTAGAACGTCCGTTCTGCCTTAGCTGAGGCTTAAACTCACAACTTCTGAGACTGAGGTCCGTCTTCTATCTCACTGAGCTAACTGGCAAGTGACAGTTCATGTGTGGCTTCACAGATTGACTAAGCCAAGCATCAGGGTGCCAGACAGCAGCCGTCCATGTCATGGAAAAGCACATTTCAAAGTGAAAGTTCACAATATAGAATAAGGAGCACAGAATACAAGTAATAATAATTCTATCCTCATGCATTGTTGTGTGGATTACAGAGACCACATTGCAGTTGTGTGTGTTTGGGGTGGGGTGGTGTTAGTGTGTGTGTGTGTGTTTTTGTGTGTGTGTGTGTGTGTGTGTGTGTGTGTGAAGAAGCTGTCTCTGAGCTTGTTGGTCCTGGTTCTGATGGACCTGTGGCGCCTGCCTGAGTGTCTCTGATGACTTATGTGATGGTTTACATGTCATCCTGGACACTGACAGCATCTGTAAGAAGGCAAACCAACAGCTGTTCTTTTGAAGGACGCTGAAGAGTTTTGATGAAGATCGGACGATGATGAAAATATTCTGTTCTGCTCTTATTGAGTCCGTTCTTTCTTCTAACGCCATCTGTTGGTTCGTTAATCTGAAGCTTAAAAACACAAACAAGTTGTGCTGTAACATCACTGGTGTTACTTTGATATCCCACAGCATCTGTGTGAAGAGAGGGTCGTCTCTACAGCTCTGTCAGTTGTCTCAGACCTAAGCATCCGCTCCATGTTGAGGTTCAGATGCTTCATCAGGGTCAGCCTCTCTCAGCGCTGTATATATGTCTTTAGTTTGTGTCTTATTGTGACCTTGGACTGTTAATATTTGTGAATAATGTTTTTCTTTCCATGCTCACCACGTTAGCTTAGCGTCGCATGCTAACATGTTGAGGCTACAGTGTTTGTGCTGATGGTATGTGTTGTTAGTCCTGAAGGTGGCGCTGCAGCCTGACATCAGTCTGTTTCTCTGACTTGTGTTTCAGGAATCGACTTTAAAATCAGGACGATCGAACTGGACGGGAAGAAAATCAAACTTCAGATCTGGTGAGTTCGATTGATGAAACACTGATCAGTGATTGTGTCAGTCAGGATCAATACATCAGATCAATAGTCTGTGCTGTCACAAGTTAATAACATGTTGGTGCTTTGTGTCCCTGCAGGGACACCGCTGGTCAGGAGAGGTTCAGGACCATCACCACAGCCTATTACAGAGGAGCCATGGTAAGACACGCCCCCTCCTCTTGACCTCACTGCTGCTGGACACATGAAAACAACAACAACAATAATAATGATAATAATAATAATTAGAACTGTATTTGTACAGCACACTTCATACAGGAAGTGCAAATCAAAGTGCTTCACATATTAAAATGAGTAAATTCAGATGAAAGAGAGAAAAGATTCAAATACACATTCACATACTTAGAAAATACAAATTAGTTACGTAAATAAATCTACATAAATACAAATCTAAAAAGAGGTTTTGACAAAATGCATGAAATGTAAACTTAAATAAAACACAATTTGATAAAGAAGATGATTTAAATCAGGAGGTGTTCGTTGAGTCTGTGCATTGAAAGTATGAATGTTTGGCTCTGAGCTCTGATGATGTCACGTCTGTGTTTAATGATGGAGGGCATTAAATTGTTTTAGCTGCTCACAAGTCACAGTGTTGATATTTGATAAACAACCACATTAAGATTAAATTAAAATGTGTTTACAGGCGTTTTTATTCAGATTCAGATTCAGATTCAGAATACTTTATTAATCCCCGGGGGGAAATTGTTTTTGTTCCAATGCTCCGTGCAAAGTAGAAATAGAAATACAGCATGAATGGAAACAAGAGATAAAGATGAAGATATAAATAAGATACTAAAATAGACAGTGAAATAAATAAAATAAAATATTAAAGTAGACATTAAAATAAAATAAAATA